AACTATAATTGGCACAAAAACCAAAAACTCGAAAATCTAAACTTTTATAGGTCACACGACTCGTGTCCCTTACTCACACGACTCGTGTGAAAATCCCGAAGCTAAATTCTGTCACACGACTCGTGTGACTTCACACGACTCGTGTGGCTACCCACACGACTCGTGTGGCTACCCACACGACTCGTGTGACTTGAAAAACTTAAAATTCCAACTTTTTAAGCTTCAAAATAGCTTAATCTTGGAAATTAACTGATACTTTTTACTAATAACTGAATGGGATATTACAAGGACGACACGTGGCGCTTTTGCACCAACTACCGAGCATTGAAACCTGCCACTATCAAAATCCGATTTCCCATACCCAGTGTCGATGACATGCTTGATGAACTAGAAAGCTCGCGGTATTTTTAAAAATTGGATCTACGGGTCGGATATCACCAGACAAGGCTCGCCGAGGTGGATATCATAAAGACGGCATTCAGGACGCACCAGGGTCACTACGAGTATATAGTTATGCCGTTTGGACTCTGTAATGCTCCATCTACTTTTTAATTTGCTATGAATTCAATTTTTCAAGTGTATTTACAAAAGTTCATATTGGTGTTCTTCGACGACATCCTAATTTACTTGAGGACGTGGGCGGAACACATCGAGCACCTGCGCGTTGTACTAGAAATCCTAGCCCATAACTCGTTCCACATCAAGACATCGAAGTGTTCATTTGGGCAGGAGATGGTGGAATACCTCGGGCATTTTATTTCACACGAGGGCGTGAAGGTCGACCCGAGGAAGATCGAGGCAATGGTCAACTGGCCTAAGCCGATGAGCCTAACACAACTGCACGGATTTTTGGGCTTGACCGGGTACTATCGAAAGTTCGTGAAAGACTATGGGACCATTGCCAAACCTTTGACCAAGATGACCAAGAAGGTTGGATTCAAGTGGACCGAGGCTAGCGAGATTGCGTTCAAGAAATTAAAAGGCGCGATGACTACGACACCCGTTCTTGCAATGCCGAAGATTGAATTTTTGTTCGAAGTACACACAGATTCAAGCGACATAGGTATTGGAGTGGTCTTAGTACAAGAAGGTCGACCGTTGGCCTACATCAGCAAGCACTAGGAGTATGCGTCTCAGGTTGTCGGTCTACGTCAAGGAGATGCTCGCGGTCGAATTGTGACCGACCAAAAACCACTGAAACATCTTTTGGAGTAGAAGATAGTTACGCCGGAGCAGCAAAAGTTTGTCTCAAAGCTAATGTTGTGACCGACCAACATGCACAGAACGGACATAGCTGAGCTCAATGCATTTTTGTAGTCAGCTTGGGCCGTATGGGATGACTTGAGAAGCGCACAAAGCCAAGACACATTTTGTCGAGACATGCGCCGAAAGATGGAGACCAAGGATGGTGTAGTCGCCGAGTACAACGATCATGACGGTCTCCTACTATATCGAGGAAAAGTGTATTTGCCGGATGAGGGACAACTACAGGAAACGATCCTAAGGCACTTCCACAACTTGAAGTTCGGGGGGCACTCAGGAGTCTATCACACTTGGATGAGGCTGTCGAGCACATTCTATTGGCCGGGACTACAAAGAGAGGTGCGTGATTACGTGGCGCAGTGCGAAGAGTGCCAGCAAGTTAAGGCAGACTCGCACTGGCCGGCGGGTTGCTACAACCTTTACCAGTGCCCCAACAAACGTGGGATGACATCACGATGAATTTCATAGAAGGGCTGCCGACGTCCAACGGTTTTAATAGAGTGATGGTCGTGATGGACCGATTGACAAAGTATGCACACTTCGTTCCGTTGACACACCCTTACACGGCCAGGTCGATCGCCCGATTGTTCGTAGAGTACGTGATGAAGCTCCACAGGGTTCCACGGTCGATTGTGTCCGATTAAGACCGAATCTTCATGAGCAACTTATGGTCGGAGTTTTTCAAGATGCAAGGCACGGAGCTAGCCATGATCTTTTCCAATCACCCGCAAACCGACGGACAAACCGAGGTAACTAGCCGAACTCTCGAGCAGTACCTAAGATGCTATGTACATCAATTTCCAAAGAAGTGGGAAGATTTTTTTTTCCTTTGGCCGAATATTGGTACAACAAGACCTATCATAGCTCAACCAAGTCCACGTCATTCGAGCTAGTGTACGGGCGCAAGCCACCTACGCTCATGATTTATTCGATGGGAAATTCGATGAACGACGAGGTTGAATGTGAGCTCATGGAATGAGACTTAATGATCTGAGAATTGAAGAAAACCTTGGACAGGTCCATCAACCGTATGAAGCCAGTCCATGACAAGGGCCGACGCAAGGAATATTACGAGCCTGGTGATTGGGTATACTTCAAGTTGTTACCCTTTAGACAGCGCACGGTCGCGCAAACTCGAGCATCCAAGCTCGGGGTCCGATACTATGGGCTCTATCAAGTGCTTAAGAGGATCGACAAGGAGGCCTACAAGCTCGAGTTGCCCGAAGAATCATACATTCACACGGTGGTCTATGTCTCGCAGCTGAAAAGAAGTTTGGGCGAGTTGCACAAGCTAAGCGACCGATTACCTGCGACGGTACCAGATGGACTTTTTGTACCGTTTTTGTCGTGATTTTTCTTATTGTTCTGTCGTTATTTTTGTATCATTTCATGTCGTTTATTTCATTATTCATGCGATTAATATTGTATTGAGTGTTTTTCTTTAGTTCGTGTCGTATATAGATTATTTCGATTATTTTTCTCTATTTCCTCTATTTTGCGCGTTGATGGTGTGTAGGTCAAAAAAATCCGACGGGGAATCATTCGAATAATATTTTGAGCCGGTGACTTGTGGTTGATATAGAAATTTGTCAGCTACGCATGGAA